CCAAAGTTCGCAGGTTCGGATCCTGGGCACAGACCTACGCACTGCTTCATCAAGCCATGCTGTGGTGGCATCCCATATACAAAATAGAGGAAGATGGGCACAGATGTTAGCTCAGGGCTAATCTTCCTCAGCAAAAAGAGAAAGATTGGCAACTGATGTTAGCCCAGGGCCAATCTTCCTCATCAAAAAAAAAACAGATGCTTAGGAAGATTAATCTAGTCATGGAAGACAGGATAGATTGCTATACAGGAGAGATAGGGAGTAAAGACACCAATTTAGAGAGGTTGTTTTTTGAAATCTAGGTATGAAGTAGTTAATGCTTAACCTTGAGAATGGTGGTAAAAATGGAAATTTTGATGCTTTATTGAAACATGAAGGTCTTTATTCTGCCTTTTGATGTTATTACTACATAAATGCATCTAGATATTTAAAGGAAAAAGCTAGATAACTTAAGCTTTTGGTCAAAGTAAGCACAGTATTTCAAGAGATATAAAGCACATTCCTTCTGCTTCTCTGTTCTGATAACATTCAGCTATTAACGAGCAATAAGAACAACAAAAACCTCTGAAGTATGAATATTCATATCCTTTTCAAATGTTTAAAAACCTTAATTCTCAATTTTAGTGCCATTTTAGTTATTGCAAGCAGTAACTTATGAAGAAATGTAGCAAATGATAAATACAAAGTTAAGTGCCGAAAGTATATTTTATTTCCTTAGATTTTATATTTGTGTTTTTATATTTTCTTAGTCAATTTTAAAATATGCCTAGCTTAGTAATAATACCTAACCTCCTTCTAAATACAAATTTTAAATGTGATTTCATAAGTTTTCAAAAATTTGAGCTTTCCAATGATGAAAGTTTTGTAAATTTATTTAAATGGATTATTTATATCTTATTTAAATGAGTAAAAATTATTTATTTATTCCATATTGTGTAAATTGAGATACCCAACTGAACATTGGAAATAGACTTTTTTTTTTAGAGAAACTGATTTTGATATTACTTATAGGAGCTTATCTTTTTTTTTTTCCCCTTTCCTATCTCTTCCATAGACCAAACACTAAGATATTCTTTCCTATCATGAATAGATAGTAGTATGTTCTGTTAGGGTATGTGCTAAGCTGCTATTAACAAAGAGAACTCCAAATCCTCAATGTTTCAAACATGATAGAATTTTATTCATCTCTCATTTAACAGTTCAGGGGTAGGCAGATGGTCAAGAGTGAGTTGGCGGCTATGTTTTACAAGGTCATCCAAGAACCCAGGTTTCTTTTGTTTCTCAACCATCCACTGTGGCTTTGTTGTTTAGTACATATCTACTAGCCACATGTACAGTATCTACTAGCCACATGTGGCTATTGACATTTATATTTAAATTAACTTAAATTAAAAATTCACTGTCCGTACTAGCTACATTTTTTGGGGGGAGGTGGAGAGGATCAAACCATTTTATTGAGGGGCTTCGGGAGAGGGTGCGGGGACAATGAGATCTGACGTCTTCACCCAGGCCAGGATCTTCACAGTTGCCAAAAAGCCATACTAACTACATTTTCAGTCCTCCATGCCTCACATGGCCAATGGCTGCTGTTTTGGACGGTGCATATATTCCTCCATTGTTGCAGAAAGTTCTGTTGGTCAGACCTGCACTAAGACAGTAGATGTTGTCTGCATGGTCTTTACTGACTCATGTTGGCTTAAGTTCTAGTTTACAGGAAGGGAGAATGAGAGGGATGGGGAAGAGGGGAAGGCACAGTTTTGTTATAAATGATCCAAAAGATGCACACATCACTTCTCCTTGCAGTCCATTGGCCAAAATTTAGTGATATACTGATACCCAAGGGCAGCTGGAAGAGTTGCTGGCTGGATGGAGTATACTCTGCTGAAACTTGGTTTTAGTGGGGGTGCTGTGGAGGCAGGGATCCTATTACTTAAAAGGAAGAAGGTAAGAATAAATACTAGAGGACCTTTGGCAGTCTAGGTCACATGTACTCAATATGTTAATAATCACGATAAGGTTTCTTCCTATCCCCCAAATAAAGTAGACAAGAATCAACATGGGTAAAGTTTAATTTTAAGTGATCATGCTGAGATAATTATATATATTTTTTTACAATTTTATTTGAATTACGTTTTAAAGTTTAACAAAATTAACCTTATGATTATTTTGACTGCAAGGCCATATTTTGAACATGACACTGTTTTTCTCTAATGTGTTACCTCTCTGTCTTAAACTTTGTGGAAAGATGATGATTTTTTTATGTCATTGCAAACGAAAGACTAGAACTTTTGTTAATTTCTGTCTTATTTGATAGATGTTCAATAATGATTTTGAACATTTTGATGATGAGCAGCAACGTAAAGTATGAAAATTACTAGTTGGTGATTTAGTTCTTGCACTCTCTCTGTGTATACGTTCATCATGGTTGTAAACTATTTAGGGCTTATAGTGAAAAGCAGCAGCTTTTTTCCACACCATTTCCTATCCCCAGTTTTATTATTTGAGACAAATACTTTCAAGTGTGCGTGTTTACGATTTCCATATTTCTAAATAACATGCCTATGTTCACTATTGCTTGATTTGTCAGTTTTAGGAATTACGTACTGATTAACTACTATAATAAAAAAGGATTTAGCTCATATACTACCTTCTCTCTCCCTTCACTCTTCTTTTACTCTTCTATTAACTTTAACATGTCCTTTCATTTAAAGATGATATCTTTTACTCTCAAATTAGCAGTTAGACAATTTTTTTTTTTGAGGAAGATTGGCCCTGAGCTAACATCTGTTGCCAATCTTCCTTTTTTTTTTCTTTTTTTCTCCCCAAAGCCCCAGTATGTAGTTGTATATCCTAGTTGTAGGTCCTTCTAGTTCTTCACTGTGGGACGCCGCCTCAGCATGGCTTGATGAGGGGTGAGTAGGTCTGTGCCCAGGATCTGAACCGGCAAACCCTGGGCCGCTGAAGCAGAGTGTGCGAACTTAACTGCTACGCCGCTGGGCCAGCCCCAGCAATTACAAATTTTAATGTTCCTGATCTTCCCTTCTGTCTTTCCCTTATCTCTCAATTTTGTCATCTCTTCCTTTTTAATTGCAGTGGTCAAGTATATTTTACATTAGTTTCTGTAACTATAAATAAGTTTTTTAGCTTTGTCTATTGCTGGATTCTAAAAATTGTAATTAGTAAGCAGTTTAATTTTTTATGACTATATAAATATTTTTCACTGAAAACTGTTAGAGCAATTACAGTTTTTAACACAGCTTTATTGTTTATAATTTAGTTTAAAATTTCCTCGTCCCTTTTTGCCTTCTTGTATTTTTTTTTTAATTTCCTTAATTTCTTCCCATATGTAAGTGACGCCTTCTGTTCTGCAGACTTTCTTTTTTACCAGCTGTTTCCCTCCTGGAGCCTTCTTTCTCTCTCTCCTAATCTGTGTTGTCAGCCAGTGCTTTCCTAACCACTTTACATTTTCATAAAATTTGTTGAAAATTTGCTTTAGTTGATGCTATCCCCTCTTTTTCTTTTTGTAATTGTAGGTTTATTTATAACTTTTTCAAATTCTTTTTTTTTAGAGAGAGTCTATAAACACATGTGCTTGTCTCAACATCTTGAATCTGAAGTATAAATGTTTTCAAAGACTCAGATGCCCATATATCTGAACCTTAGAGTCATATTGATAAAATGTGATAAAGTCTCATGGTCTAAATTTTTGAGATGTTTACAGATATAGTTCAAAGAAAATAATGATTAACTATATATATAAAATCATTGATATTTTTATGTAAATATTTTTCTAGTCTAATTTTACATTCGTTTTCTGAGACTACACTTTTTATAGATTATGGTAAAAGTTCTTCTGTTGATAAAGATTGTTTTGTTTTACTTTTTATTCTATTATCGAAGATATGTATTGTTTTCAGATTTAGATCTGTTTTTCATTACAAAGTGTTCCGCAACTTTATTGCCCAACATTGCTTGAAATTGACCCATTTTACCTTTATATCTGGCCAGTGACTAAATGGCATATAGTGATGTTAAAAAAATGTTTCCTAGGTTAGGAGGCTAATGTTAGTTCTGAACTCTAATGGGTCTTACCATCAGTCTGGGTGATAAGTTGTGCAATACTCTTAGGCTACTTTTTATCTTTACAAGAGAATAGTATTGTAAAAATGTCAAAAAATATCCACATGCCCAGTTCACTAGTAAATATACTGCTAAATTTGGACCTTTTTGGCAGTAGCTTATGCTACTCAAGGGACCTTATTTTTACAGAATGATTTATTTCAAAGGGTATATTGGTTTCCATTTTAGAAAATTCATGCATTTAGAACAACTTAAAGCCAAAACAATTGTGCTTGTGCTGTATGTTTAAATTATTAGTCATCTCGAATACATGCCCAGGTTAAGTGTCAGAAGCTATATATTGCCACAAAAAGAAAATTTATTGTTAGGAGACCAGGCTATACCTGTGCTTACACAGCATTTTCCTTAGAGGATCAATTTGAGTATATGAACTCATATCAGCCAGATTTTTGTACAGTAACATTATTGATAATAACAGAGAAGTTCATCGAGGAGAAAAACAAATAAAGGAAGCATAAAAGTCTCATATTGTATGAAACTACAGAAATGGATCAAAGAGTCTGACAGGAAGTTTAATGTGTACAGAAGTAGAGGCTGACAGGAACATGCTGTGTGTGCCAAAGGTTCCAGTGATGGAAAACCGAAACATAGTGCTCACTGACCACAGCATGAGCCTTGACACACATTGTAAATAATCCAGAGATCTATGACTGCATTAAGCACTGGGCTGTATTACCAGCAGTAAATCTATAGCAGCATAAAGGGCTGGCATGCAGAAATTCCTCTGATTAATTTTTGTAATGGATTAATAGGAATATAGCAAATATTTTCATTTCAAATCCCACCATCCTCCATCCTTCCCCTCCTCGCACTACCAACCTCCCCAGTGTGATCATTTTTCATTTCCTTCTATTCACCAGACTTGTATATGTGGATACTAGCTTCAGTACCATCAAGTTAAAAGCCGAAGATGCTTCTGGTAGAGAGCATCTAATCACTCTCAAGTTGAAGGCGAAGGTATGTGCTTCATTAAACTGTTATTGTGGTCAGGAAATACTTTGTGAAATGAACTCGGTGAGTGTTTTCAATGTAAAGAAGTGCTAGTTGCTTTTAAAAAAAAAATATGATACCTTAAAAAATTTATTTTGGAAAGCCTCAAAGAATTTATTCACCAGGTTTCCAAAAGCCTAGATATAATTTCATCTCACTATTTTCGTTCAAATTTGATCAAAATATAGACTTCATAATAAAGACATATTTCAAATAAGATTTGGCAACCTCAAAGTACCATGCTGTTATTTTTGTAACATCCTTTATAGAAAAGAGTTGGAGGTTTCTGCTATCCCAGGTAAAGTTCTGCTGAAGTCTTTTGTCCTCAACTCTTACTATGAATTACCTTTGTAGTTCATATTTCTGACCACCCCCCACAACACAGACACAGATGTATGCATGCTTTTTATTGTTTCTTTTGTCTGAATTTTTTTTTACTTCTGTATTTTAAGAATTTGCAAAGGTTATGACTCTATTTATAAAGCCCTTACAGGCTAGTGATCTATAACTACTCACTAATTTTATTGGCACAAAACGTAGCTGTTTTGTCTTTATTTTTTGGTTCTAGATTGTGAATTTTGAGAAATAAGTAGAATAAGGAAGTTCAGCATATTAATCATTTACTTAGTAATCACCAGGGAAACATTAGAATTTGAGAAAACCAGGACATCTAACTTTTTTTCGTTGTTCCTAAGAGTTATCAATCAACTCTATTTCAGAAGATTGTAGTGATGAAAAGATCAGTTGTGTTTGTCCTTTTTAAAAATGTGTCTGGCATTTAAGCTTTCCATGAGAGAAAATTAATATATAAAGCTGTACTGGGTGACACAGAAAAGTTGATATCTTATAGTGCCTCTGTATCAGACAAGTTGAGAAATGACTCATTCTCTCTTTTTTTAACACATAGAATGTTTAGGTGTAATTTTAAGACTCATACGTGATAAGTGTTGGAAAAAAATTAGTGGTATAGAAATTTTATTTGTAAAAGAAGTGATATGGATGTTTTGTTAAAATGAAAAATTTTTATTTTCCTTTTTAGTTTTTAAAGGTATGCTTTTCTTAAGATCAGGGAGAAATCTTTCTTTATCCTTCCAAAGGTCACATACTGCCAGTGGCAAGAATTCTGTCATTTCCTTCCAAGTTTTATTTGTTTATATTTTGTACATTGATAGAAGTTGCATTGCTGCTATGAAGACCAAAATGAGAAATTTTAAATACATCCTGTCCTGGTTCTGGGTTTTTTTTTTTTTTTTATAGCCTCATTTTTACAAGCTTTTCTAGTTACTAAGGAGATAGTGCTTTAAGTCTACACTGCCTTATCACTATACCTACAAGATTTTATTATTAATTCCGGTTAATGACATTATTGGTAATATTGAGAGTGAGGATGTAGCCACTAGTATGGTCCATTCTGTCTGCTTTTCCTTATACCTTTCAAGGTAGATAAGGTGACACTTCTAATATTTCTTTGGAGAATATATGTTAAGAATACATAATGCAAAATCTTAATCCAAGCTAAATTTTAAAGGGTCAAGCTGATTTTTTTAATGAACCTTAAAGCAGGCTCATTTTTGTAAGTACATAAACCTTTATTTCTTTTATTTGATATTTTTGATATGTAGTAAAGAAATGCAGTTGTTTTATTTTTATTCTTGAATACATACTCTCCCACTTGTGCCACTCCCCGCCCACTGTCTCCAAAAACCCACAAAGAAAACAATACCAATTTTGACTAGACACTTCCTATTAAAAGTAAATATATAAATCAAGAAGAAATACAATAAGGGAAATAGTTGAATTTTGTCGTTTTTATAGGTGTATTTTTATGCAGTATTTACAGTACACCCTGAACTATGGGATGGGATTATTATCTTTTCTTTAGAAAAGAAGTAGCCCAGGGCTTCCTCAGCTTTGGCCAAGATCAGAAAAACAAATCGCAGATGTGTTTCAGAGGCTGGCCTCTCTTTTTGTAATCTGCTGCAATTTGTGTGTATTCACTTGGGAGGGGCCTAACTGCTTAGATGGTCCAATCACAGAATAGGATGGGTTAAAATTTTCCGTGGAACAATATACTATAGAGTCTAAAAAATATTGTACATGACAAAAATATGTACTTAATATTACAGAATAATTGTATTCTTTTATAGTTATTGATTTGATTGAATTGTTTCAAGTGAGATTTGAAAAACTATATTTTAATTAATTGCTGTACTTATTTTTCAATTAATATCCCTTTATGTGGAGCTTTTGTTATTGTTGTCAGTTAGACTTCTAAAGTAAAACTTTTGGCAATTAGTCCAGATCTGATGGTTTTATATATATCTATTCAACTTACTGTTGAAAACTATCTGAATTTTAATAAAGTTATTTTACAATATTATCTGTGTTGTAGTTAGTACTACAATACAAACAGTTCTGAAAATGATTATTTAGGATGCTATTTCATAATTCATGTTAAATCATCCAGAAGTATATAAATTTGTGCTTTTTAGGTTCTTTACAGTTATGTAAAGTTTACTATGTAAACAAAATTGATCTTAAATGTGAATATAATTAACACATACACTATATATGAATTTAACTCAGATATACAGTAAAGCCACCTACATATAGATCAGTCTAACTTACTATATAGTCATGCGCTGCATAATGACATTTCAATGACAGACTGCATGTATGACAGTGGTCTCGTAAGATTAGTACCATATAGCCTAGGTGTGTCATAGGCTATATCACTTAGGTTTGTGTAAGTGCACTCTATGATGTGCCCACAATGACAAAATCACCTAGTGACGCATTTCTCAGAACGTGTCGCCATTGTTAAGCAACACATGACTGTATACATATTTGTGTGTTTGCATAATTACACATAAAAATATATTTGAAAGATGTCATCATCTCAGAAACTATATGGTGGACTCATTTATATATTTGAGATGTATTTATTATAACCTTTTTTGTTTAACTTTTTGTGGATCTCTTTCTATATCAGTACGTATATACCATTTACTATACTGAATCCTATTTGAATGTAGGATCATATTCTCTTTTAAAATAATGTGCTGTATGTACTCAATGATTTTCAAAGTCACAGATATTTTATTTGCTTTATCTACTCTAAATACAGTGAACCTTTCGCTAACTTTCGTATTTCATACTCTTACCTGGATTGATGATTTGCTTAAGTTAGAGAATTGATATTATTTATTGTCAGCATCAGTAGGAGATAAATAGCAGCAACTCAAAGTGAACTAAATATTCCATTTTTGACCCATGGAGATTTCAAATGTGCATTATTATTTTTACAGAATCTTAGCATTTTAGAGAGAAAAGAGGTTTTATAACACTTCCAGTTGAGTTCCATAATTTTTAAATATAAAGCAGCCAGAAAAGTTAAATAAGTTGTCCAGGATCCCACAAGTTAGTTAGCAGAGCTGGAAACCAGAGTAGCTAAGGTCTCTGCTTGCCTGCATTTACTATGAGATAATCACATGACTCTTAAAAATGGTGTACAAATTGTTTTTCCAGTGATTACAGCAGTTATACTCTGAAGTATATCTTCTGATATTTTGAATTTTCTGAAACAGAGCTCCCTCCTTAATCTCAGCCTGACCTTTTACTTTCTTGTTTTCTCCAAATTAGAGCACTGTTATATTTTTATATGGTTTCCTGTATGTTTGCCTTTCTGTTATCAGTTCTACATAGCCAGATACCATTAGTCAGAGTGTATATTGATAAGTTTCTTTTTAGCCAACCAGTCATTCTAATTAAACGTTAGTTCTTTTCAAAGCATTTACTTCAAATGGGCTGATGTATGTTAAATACAGTAGTGATCATTTTTTTCCCCTTTTGCTTATTCAGCAAAGTAGTGAGAAATAAGAGGCTGAGAAAAAAGTGTGAAACATTTTAAACATTTGTCAAATGAGAAAAAGTTTTCCTAAAATGAATTTTCTTTTAAAATTTAGCTTTTTAATGGGAAGAAATGAATACTTTTTAATTACATGTTGGTTTCAAGAATCCAGAATTGGATTTTAGAGAAATCGTGTAGTATAATTCTCTAATAACAAAATTGATTTTAAGAAAAACTACCTTTTGTCTTTAACTTAGAAACCTGATTCGTTCTTATGATATAATTTTTTGTATAAAACTGTTGAAGAATTAATTTTCTATTTATCAACCAGGAAAAGATTTTTCTTCCTTAAATCTATTACTTTTGTTTTTCCTTAATAAGCCAGAAGGCATTTCATTACTTTTTTTTTTTTTTTAATGTGGCAACATGTGTTTTACAATTAAAATGTCTTAATTAACCAATATTTGATTTTTTTTTTTTTTTGGTGAGGAGATTGGCCCTGAGCTAACATCCGCCAATCACTCTCATTTTGCTGAGGAAGACTGGCCCTGGGCTAACATCCGTGCCCATCTTCCTCCACTTCACATGGGATGCCGCCACAGCATGGCCTGCCAAACACTGCTTCCGTGAGCGCCTGGGATCCGAACCAGCGAACCCCGGGCCGCCGCAGCAGAGCGCGCACTTAACCGCTTGCGCCACCAGGCCGGCCCCGGCATTTCATTATTTTTTTAAAAATTTATCTTCTTGCTAAAAGTAGTTGCTTTATTGTGGAAAATACTTTTTTAAATTGATAGTTGTATATATTCATTTTTGTGCATTTCTTGATTTTTTTTAAGAGATACTGCCTCTTTAAATAGTGACTGAGGCTATTTGGGATTAAATTTTAGACTAAAAGGAAATTAAATATCAACCAGTTTGATTTCTCATTTTATAAATAGGGAAACAGAGATCCAGTGTGCTTCACACCTCAAATCACGTTAGCAGCTGACCTGACACTGACTGAATTCATTACTCGTTACTCAAAACTGATTGCTTTGGCACCCCCAAATCACCAAACTGTACCTCCTGAGCATAACTTGACTATTAATCAGCCCTTGACATCTCTATAATAGTGGAATCAAAATATTTATATATAATACATTTGCATTTATAATACTTTTTCTAATATATTCAGTTTTTCTAAAATACTTCATGTGAAGTTGTCACACAGCAGCAAAAATGACCTAATTTTATGCTTTTCCATAGTACCCTGCAGAATCACCAGATTGTTTTGTGGATTTTCCTGTTTCATTTTCTGTTTCCTGGACACCACAGGTAAATTCTTAAATTTATTTTAAGTAGCTAAAAAGAGTATTCTTTTTACTCATAAGTGGCCATTATAGGTTATAAAGTGATTTTTTTCCCCCTGGTTTTCTTTAAGCTTTTATTTATAAACAGGACTTCTAGAGTGCCTCTTTTGTATTTCCTACTAGTTAATGTCCATTTTCTCTCTCTCCACACACACACGCACGCACACATGCACATCATTCAGCCTTTAGATCTTTATGCTTCATTTTGGATAAACATGAAGAAGCTCTACCAACAGAAATTTTTCTTTAAATTTAAATCCTAAAGAACTCTTTATAAGGCAGTAAGTGAAAAATTGGGTGGAATTTTTCAGATTGCTAAAACTTTTAACATTGATGACATAATATCAGAGAATCTTTTTCAGAGGGGAATGATTTACGACTGAAAGTATAAGCCCTGCCATTTCCACTCAGTCTTCATTGTTTGAAAGTGTTTGTCCTTAGTTCATTCTTGAACTTAGACTATATTCTTTTTGTATGTGTTTTGGAACAGTCATACCTTGAGTAAATATAGCAGATTCTTTCCCTTGCTCCTATCAATTGAATTTCTCAATACATTGGTGATACTAACAAGATAATTTATTTAGAAGTGCATTGTAAACTGTAACATTATAAAGATATAGGGTGGTATGGTTATCAATAGTACCATCATCAACATTCTGTGTGTGTGATTTTTAAAGACGTGGCAGAAGGGTGGTTAGGTTCAAAGACAATCTAGTGATGACGGGCGTGGTCCTTCTTTCACTAAGTTAAATTGTGGCAGTTGACAGGAAAATGGAGAGAACATTTCTATTCTTATGCAAAGAGAAAAAAAATTCTTAGTGACGGTTTACAAATACTCTCTAAATAGAAGCTACCTATATTTTTGTTATGAAATTTTGATAGGTTCAAGTGAAAATTCATGCTGACATTTTAAATTATAAATAGTAAAGTAATTGTCTTGTATGTGAAGTTAGTTAAAAAAAAATAAAAAGCCTAATAGGATTTCAAAAGTCTTATGAAGATTCAGATGTGATTTTAATCATACATATATATATTCAAAAATTATTTTTCTCCTTTTCTTCTTTAAAAACAAAGTCTCCCTTAAACATCTAATTTAAGCCACAAAAAAAGACCCAAAACACAACAAAAACCTAAAAACGAGTCTCTCTCTTTCCAGTGGAAATCAAGAAAACTGCAAAATAAAGGAGAGGAAAATCACTGTGATTTGTTTTTGGTATTCTGATACATGTTATAAATATATAAGAAGCACTATGTTTTGTTTTTGATATTCTGATACATGTTATAAATATATAAGAAGCACTATGTTGATTTTTTAAAAAAGAATTTAAATTGTATATAAATATATACCTTTTTTGTTTTTTTAAACATACATTTTCTATTTGGCTCTATAATCTTTACATTTCATGTGAGATCATGAGATAGCATTGTACCTAGATTGTATTACTCTTTCCAGATATGCTATCTCTAAATTATACTTAATATTTGTCAAAATTCCAAGGTTGAGGAATATATTTTTGATGAGTTTCTTAATGTTTTTAATGTAGATAACCATACAAGTTTTCCTCAGACTTTAATTGTGAAAAAGTTTGCATCTCCAAAAAAGACTGTTTAGCACTAACTTTATTCTGCCATTTAGCAAAATTAGTTTGTGACACCACTACACTGGAAAATAGGGCAATTTCTTTTAAATTTTGTATACCTACTTAACACCAGCTCAATGTCTTGCACATATAAGTGTGGAATAAGTGTTTATAATATTAATTGAAATTCAAGTTTTAGATTTAATTGGGTCATATAACAAGTTTTCTGTTTTGTACTAGCTACAAGAAAGCAGAATTAATTAGTAGTAACTGTAATGTCATAAATTCTTTTTTTAAATTAAAGAATATACTAAAATTCTTAGCAAAGTGCAGATAAAAATTTGGACACCTTTTTATTCACAACTCAAATTTGACAGATGTTAATATTTTGTCACAGTTGCTTCAGATATGTCACTATTTCTGTCTCTCTTTTAGGAATAAAATGTTCTAGGAACAACTAAGACTTTACTCCTCTTTTTTCTCTCTCCTTTCCTCTTTCTTTCCTTTTCTCCCTTTCTAGAGGTAAGCACTTCCCTGAAGTTGATGTTTATGCTATCCATGCACCTTTTTTTTGCTCTATTTGTTTACATCATATTCTATAACATTTGCAGTCTGATTTTTTTATATACAACATTGTTTCTGAGGTTCACCCATGATCTATGCATGTCTAGTATGTTTATTTTAAATGCTTTAGATCATTCCATTATATGAATCCACCAGTTAATTTATCCGTTGCCCTATTGATAAGTTTGTTCACAATTTCTTACTTACAGTGCTGCAGTGACCATCCTTACATGTTTCCTTGTACGTATGTGAGACTTGGAGTGTGAGTTATGCCTAGAAGTGAAAATGCTGGATTGTAGGGAATGCACCTCTTTGAAATTACTAAACATTACCAAAGTGCCTTCCCAAATTGTTTGTATAAGTTTATACTCCTACCCAACAATGCATGCATTCCTGCTTTCCCAAATCCTTTCCAAGTCTTAGTCTGATTTTAGTCTGACCTTAATTCTTAACAAGAATTGATAATCGTTATTATTGTGTTTGTAATCTTTGCCTGTTTAAAATTTTTCTTTCGTTATAAGCATCCCTTATATATTTTGGATACTAATTCTTGTTGGTTATATGGGATGTATGTATCTTCTCCCTGTGGCATGTCTTTTAACTTTGTGTATGATATATTTTGTCAATCAGAAGTAACTTTCAATATGGTCACATTGATCGGTCTCTTCCTTATGATTTCTGCTTTTTCTGTCTTGAATGAGAAAATATTCCATATCTTGCTCTGAAAAGATATTCTATAGTTTTTTCTAAAAGTTATACTTTTAAAAAATATTTAAGTATTTAAGTATGAGATAGGAATCTGTATTTACACTTGCCTATTTTATATGTATACACACTCATATATATATGCTCGTAGAATTTGAATGCGTCTTCATTTGTGGAGGTCTGAGGGTGGTCAGGTTTTCTGGGGGTCAGTTTTTCTCTTACATATGCCATTTTAATTAATTTAATTTAATTCAGAAATTTTTCAAAATATATTTTTTACCCATTGTTTTAGAGTCTAGCTGTACATCGGAAGCATTTTGGTGATGCTACCAGCGGTACGAATCCTTTGAGTCTTTTAGACGTGATAAGAGTGTTGGCAATATTAGTTTATGTTTTGAAAGTAAGAAGCAATATCAGACTTCTTTGTTTTCATTGACTTCTTTTTTTTCATTGAGTTGTTGGAAACAATTCTGCTTGTGGAAGTGATTATTTTTTAAACAATTTTTAAACAGTTAGGATTCTTAAGCAAAATCAATATTACTATTGTAGTCTAATAGCAAACATATATTTTAAAGACTGCAAATAGGTTCCAGATAATTGGTTTTTTTTAAACAACTTCCTTGTCTGCTTTTCTACATTTCCTCATTGGATTCAGTGTTTCTGGACTTTAAACTTGGAAGATCTTTATTTTCCTTTCTTTTTGTAAAATAATAGGCATGGCTTTGTGGCATCCATATTAAAAATGGGTAATTTTCCTTATGGTCCCTGTCTTCCTGCTGGGTTGATAATGTTTTGATGTATTTTTCTTTTGCTCTGATGAGAGGTCTGCTGCTGCTGCTCTGACATATTCATTTGGATGAATAATTATAACTCGCACAATGTCAAGCTGAAGATGGTAGGGTTTTGTGCGTCATGACAAGCCTAGTAGCCAGTGCAGGTGTCTCACAGCATGATCAGCAACAGCCAGTGTATTCTGGCTCAGAGGAGACATTTAGAGTAGTAAGAAATCAGCACCAAGGGCAAGGCTGCTGCTACTACTGCTGCCGTGATATGTGCCAAAGAAACACAAGTGCTTCTCAAAGACAAGGGACTGCACACCTCTTTTCAGATAGTTACTTTGTTTACCCAGTAGATTTTCTTTTATGGATTTTTGCATAGATTGTAAGAGCATGTTATGATTTTTATCTTATTCTACTTCTCAACATCAGAAATGCTTCAGAATGCATCTTTAACAATCTGCTACCTATTGGACTTTTACATACAGGTCATATATGTGAATTTTCTAATGAGACCATAGAATGCCCTAATGTAAGATTTTAAGTGCGCTGATATTAGTGATTCTATAAAAACAAAATTCGTTTCTCCAAGTTGCTGACCAACCTAAAATGGATGTTAAAATTGCAATTCTACCTATAAATGTACCATTAAGTGCAGGGTTGGTGAAGTATCCTTGCCATGGGAGTAGGAATTTTCAGATTTGGTATAATCCAGTAAGCAGTGGTCTTTATATTTTTTATCATGGAAAGCCCATATTCTTGGAATAATGCCATGAATGCAAGAAGAGCAAAACTAATGATAAAGCCTCTGGCTGATAATCTGATGGTGAATGAAGAATTTGTAATTAAAGGAAACAGTCCTATTACATAGCAGGGAGCATGATCCATTAGTTAGAGCAGCAGACTAGAAGTTGGATATCCTAGGTTCTGTTTACGGTTCAGCCATTGACTTAATTGTATAATTTCAAACAAGTCACATGACTGCCCTTTGCCTCAGTTCATATGTATATGGAAATAATAAACTTTTTGTCTTTCACAGAGATGTTAAGAAAAATAAATTTGGTTTAAAACAAACAGAATGGCAGGGGAAAAGAACTCTCGATATCCACTCGAATGATCTCCTTTTTTGACCTACTGGATTATCTTTCTTTCCTTTTTTCTCTTTGCTATCTTTCTTGGAGAACTCATAGTACTGGATTTTTGTTCACTCTTAAATTGGTTAATAAATATGCTTTTGCCTTTTTGGAAATTTTTTTGTTACCACATGGTGTGAATAAAAAGACATCAAAGGGATCAAAACAAGGAAACTTGATTTATTATTAAGATTATGTGGTATGGTA